CGTCCCCCGACTCATGTCACCTTGAGTCGTCAGTGGTGCAAAGTGGGAGTGGGGAGTGCAGAGAACACTAGCTATGGAATGAAATCAGCAGGCCTGGTTTCCATTCGCAGGCTTGCTGTATTAGTCAGGCCGATGGTCTTGGTGTGCATTATTTATTTAACCTCTGACCCTCAGTTGGTTCATCTTCCCCAAACTCACAGGAGCATATTTCTTGTTCACGATTATTGTCTGTGTCTCACAGGCAGACAGAGAAGCTCCGCTCGTGCAGAAACCTTTGTTATCCTCAGTGATGTATCCCAGGAGTCCTACAGAGTGCCTCCCCCGTTGTCCATGGGATCATTCATCCGGTTTCTTCAAATGGTAGTCATGGATACAGTGGCCACTCCTTCTACCTCGTTCATCCAGAGAGCCACCCAGGACTACTTCTCAACCTCTTTGGGGTCTTTCTTTTGCCTTCCATCTGCACTGAAATTCCTTGACTTTGGATACTTCTTGCCTGCAGTCTCCACACAGCGCTCAGAGGGATATTTCTAAAATGCAAACACAGCCCTGGCCCTCCCCTCGGTGGAGCCTTTGAACAGGTTTCCCCTTTCCCTGAGGGTCAAGTCCAAATGCGTGGACATGGCTGATAGGGGATCACTTTTGAGGTTTCCAGGCAAGATCAAATGCCTCTTGTACATACCTCTTTTCTCTCTCCTTTTTAGCCTAGAGTGCAAAGTATTTTACATCTTTGATTAGATTTGTTTCTCCAACTAGAGATATTGTGTTGACAGAGACAGAGTAGAGGGTCAATAAGGCGGACAGAGACCTATTTACGGACTCAAGGAGTGGTTGGCAAATGAACCAGACCATGAGTACCTTAGACCAGAGCAGCAGTTCTAACACCTTGGAGCAAAGGGCTTCCTTCCATGGTTCCATGTGTTAGAGTGCTCTGGGATGCCAGGGTCACCACAGTTCATGAACATTTGAACTAGAGGGTCTCTAATGTCACTTCCAGTCTGAGAGTCTATGAGGTTACCACTTTTCCTTATTCTCTGATTGGTTTCAATGGGTATGGTTGGCTTGGGATGAGAGATAGTGGCATGGGATTGAGCTGCCTTTTGGTCAATCAGGAAGAAGGGAGGGTGTTAGAAGTATGTTAAGATTAGTCATGCCTCCCCTTCTGGGCCAGGGGCATGCCATGTGTGAGGAGGCAGGGCAAAAGGAGGAAAGGGCAACTTTCAGTATTCTGAATTTAATATCGCTGCGCTGGAAATACAAATAATTGAACGTGTGTAACTGATGAGGAACATGACCCAATTCTGAGGTACCTTGGAGGGCACAGGGGGGATGGATGTGAATGACTGGAGGAAGCAGTCCTCTCATACATGTGTACCCTTCAATCAATGAATATTTCGTAAGCCGTATATAAGAGGTGAGTCCTTGACTCAATGTCAAGAAGCCTGTAATGGTTGATGTTGGTATTTTCAAGGGGCTAACCTTTCTGGCTCTCACTTTTCCCATGCTCTCTGGATGATCACATGGATTACTGCAGTCTGAAATGTGTTCCAAATATGTATCTTCCATTCAGGAACCTCCATGATCATGCTCATCGACTCCTCACCAGACAGATCCACCGGGATCATCTGCAGACACCTTTAACCCAGCACATCCACAGCTGAGTTCATCCTGTCTTGGCACTCTGCCTCAAACTTGTTTTTCCATCTGTTTTAGCTCCATTGGCCGATGGTACTTCCTTTCACCCACCCACCTAAAATAGTCATCCCTACCTACCTAAAATAGTCATCCCTGGCATGGTTTTCCTCGCTCTCCCATTTCCGTGGGAACTCCTCTCCAGTCAACCACCACTTCAGCAGTCTCACTAGCGCCCTTTGGGTTCAGTCCCTGATTACCATCGGTCTCCTGACTTCTCACATAATCAAGCACTTGTCTCTTAACTCCTTAGATCGTCATCTCCAATTGGTCCTCTCAGCTGCTGTCTGAGTGGCCTAGCTAAAATGCATTTCATTTCAAATCACTCCGTAGCATACTATGGTGTTAAGAGGAACCACAGATTCCTTCGTATGGGACATAAACAAAACTCTCCATGTCCAGAGCCCTACCTACCTCTCCAATTGCATCTCCTTCTACACTTCAAGGCTTCAGCTGCACTCAGTGACTAGCAAGTCACCAAATGTGTCCTGTAGATTGACGTCTCTATTTCTGTGTGAAAGCTACTCCTTCCACCTGGAATGTCCACCCCCTCCCCAGTTTGTCCACCTGATAGACATCTAATCATTTTTTCTGGTGTCAATGCAAGTGTTCAGACTTGCCTGACAATGCAAGCCTGAACTGATCATGCCCTTCTTTGTGCTCTTTGGCACGCGGCCTTAGACACAGTCCAACAATGATGCCTTTTCAATAAATGGTGAATGAGATGATGTGATTCTACAGGACATTATTTAATGCAGGGACTGTGAAACTAGAACATTGCCGTCCAAATCCTGGTTTGGACATTTGTTTGCTGGGTCATCTTAGGCAAGTGATCTAGCCTCAGAAGTCTCATCTGTAAAATGGGCACAGTCATTGTGCTTACCTCATCGGATTGTGATGAGGATTAAATGAATTAACATATGTATATCAGTTAGAGTAGTGCCTAATACGTGTAGCTATTATGTCAATACTACAATTATAATAAAACCAATGTTAATACCACCAGTAATATCAAGTTGAAACACACGGATGAAAGGAAGGTGTTTAATAATGAATAGCAATCAGGTGAGTTCTCTACCATGCATTCTCATAATACCCAGGTTTGTAGCCCTTATCAACGTATCTTCCCCACTAGACTGCAAGCACTATTCATAGAAGGACCATGCCTTGTTAACTACTATATTCCCAGCACCAAACACTGTACCAAGCATATGACAGGCATCCATTATTTGCTAGCTGTATAAATGAATGATGAATAAGATTTGTATTTTAGGTATTGGTAGATGGCCTTTAGCCTTTTGATCATGTTAGTTCAGACATCATGAAATACAATCCTCCCTATCATACTGTTTCCATGAACGGCCACACACTTTCTTACCACAAAGTGCTAGGTTAGAACCAGCTCTTTTGACAGAGGGCTTTGTCTCTTTACTTAGCCTAGAGCAGTGGTTCTCAACCTTCCTAATGCCACGACCTTTAGTACAGTTCCTCATGTTGTGGTGACCCCCCCAACCATAAAATGATTTGTGTTGCTATTTCATCACTGTCATTTTGCTACTGCTATGAATCAGGCATTCTCAGCAAAAGTCAAAGGGAGAGTCCTCAAAAGGGTTAAACAAAACAAAACCCCAACCAGTTGCTGTTTAGTTGATTCTAACACACAGCAAGTCCACGTGTGTCAGACTAGAACTATGCTCTGTGATAGTTAGGGATTATGTCAACTAGACACTCCTGGCTAGGGGTAGAGTCAAACATATCGATCAGTGGTTGCTTGATGACACCTCCTTGGGGCTGTGGCCTTTTGTATAAGAGTGAGGGACTCTGTGAATTGTCTCTTTCTCTATCACTTCCCCTTTCTCTTCACTAGGACTTTAGAGGGACTCCATGTCGGCATCCTAGGTGGTCCTTTGTGGGTCAGCCGACCCGACCCTGTGAGCTGCCTGCACCCTGCCATGTTTCCACTGACCTTTGGATCCACATGACCCTGCACCCAATGGCTTGCGATCTTCTGCCTTCTGGTTCACCATTCTGCGTCCCCAGCCTGTGGCTATGTGAGTCTGAAAAGGGACTTACGGACTAGTATGAGACTTATGGACTTGAGTTGGGCTGGGTTGCCTTCTTAGTATACAATTTCTTCTTGATATAAAGCTCTTTTGTATATAGGGATGCGTGTTATTGAATTTGTTTCTCTGGGCAACCCGGCCTAGGGTTTTCAAGGTTGTGACCTTTGAGGAGGAAGACTTTCAGGCCTTTCTTCTGAGATCCCTCTGGGTGGGTTTCAACGGACAATTTTTCAGATACTATTTGAATGGCTAGCCATCTATGCCACCCACTTACCCTTTATGAATTCCACTTGTAGGAGTTACCATTTAAGAGCACCTTGTCTAAGAGTTACAAAACGAGTATAAATGCCCTGTTGTTTCTGATGCTTATCATTCAAGTGAGGACACAAGTCAGATACAGAAATAGCTACACCCCACAGCCCTTTGTAGCACTAGCGATGAGCACAGTAGGATTTCAGAGGGTCTCTGTTGATAGGGTCAAGAAACAACTGATGGTAAAATTATAGTCGTGGAGTATGGGTTGGATTTTCACAGGTGGGAAGGCAAAATCATTCTACGCTGCGGAACGGGCATGGAGACAAGTGTGAAAAACTGATGCATTGAAGGGTGAAGTGAGCACGCTGATTACTTTGGTGGAAGGAAGGATTTCAGGAGGAAGTGGAAGTGGAGGGTAAGGCTGGGGATCGAGGTGTTGAATAGTTTGTGTTGGGCTTTTCATAAAAGACTAAGAAATAGGATGTGTCTCTAGACAGAATGAGAACTATACATGTGTTTCGGGCTAAGGAAATGGGATAAAGAAAATAGCGTTCCGGGAACAGTAATTGAGCGACTCGATATACAAAGGACCAGCATTCCTGGGCTAAGATGCTCAGTGATGGTTTGGGGTGACGAGATTCTCCATGGAGATAGCTGGCTGATGATGGGAAATGTGGGGCTACTGGAGGCTGTGAGAGATACACACTTAAAAGAATCTGCATAGAACAGAGAGGGGGCTATGTGGGAATGGATAAAACAAGTGCACAAGAAGAGAGAATGATGACAAAGCTTGGAGTACAGACCTGTGACAGTGAAAGATTAACTTCAAAAATGACAACACAGTATAAGAACCAACTCTAAAATACCTGGAAACTCCTATGGTCCTTGAAAGGCAGGCAGGTCACACTCCCAGAAGCTTCACGTGAAGGGAAGGACCCATTAAAACTTGGGAATGGGGAAAGGAAGGAGGAGGAGATGTTGCCATTGTACCTGTGGAGCAGTCAGATCCTGTCCACTTGGGGTCGCAGCTGCACACTCCAGTGTCCAGAAGAAAAGTCCCGTGTCCTGAGCACTGCTCTTGACATATAGGAAGTGGTGTTTCACAGTTGACTCCTCCCCAGCCAGTGGAACAGTGACATTCTCCTTTCACACAGATGCCATGGCTGGAACACATTGGGTCCAAGCAGTCCTCTGAAGGTCCAAAAAGAGGGAGTGGGGAGTGAAAGGTTAAAGAGAAGAGCTATGGCCAACATACGTGAGGATCATGAAATGAAGATACATTACTTTCCTCATGTCATACTATCAATGCTGCTCTAATTAGGCAATGAAATGACTCACGCAAACCTTGTACTCAAACCAGAAGATTATTAACACTTAAAAATATGGCGGGGTATCATAAAGGTGGCAACCTATATGTAGAAGATGAAGGAGACCACACATATGCTGTGTGAAACTTAAAAAGGTGTTGCAGTACCTCTGCAGAAATGGGGGTAGGCAGCAGTGCGGGCCTTCAGTAGAAAGCCCTGGGCTTTGGAACACATTCGTGTATGGGCACACACACACA